GCTGGAGTATGCAGTGGCATGATCATGACAATCATGGCTCATGGCAGCCTCAACCTCCAGGACTCAGATGATCCTTCCACTTCAGCATCCTGAGTAGCTGGGACTACAGGCATGTGCTACCACACCTAGTAATTTTTTGATTTTTTATAGAGATGGGTCTTGCTCTGTTACTGGTCTCAAATTCCTGGGCTCAAGCAGTCGCCTTCCTTGGCCTCCCAAAGTGTTGGGATTACAGGCATGGGCCACTGCACCCAACTCAAATCTTTTTGTTTTAATAGGTAAATAAGGCCCATTCACATTTATTAATGTGACTCTTATGTTTGATTTCAGTTCTGTCATGTTATACAGGTTGAATATACCTTATCGGAAATGCATGAAACTAGTTTTTCAGATTTTGAATTTTGGAATATTTGCATATATATAATATTTAAGGATGGAACCTAATTCTAAACACGAAATCTATTTATGTTATATATACCTTATATACACATAACATGGAGGTAATTTTATACAATATTTTAAAGAATTTTATTCATGAAACAAAGTTTGTGTTAAGTACTTATGTGTGGAATTTTCCATTTATGATGTCATGTCTGCTCTTTAAAAATGTTGAATTTTGGAGCATTTTGCTTTTGAAATTTTGAATTAGAGATGCTTAATCTTTAATTGTATGTTATATTTTATATTTTTCTTTATTTACCAGCTATTTTATTTTGCTTCTTTATTTTTGAAACTTCTTTATTTAGGAAGATTTATATTTTTGTTCTACCAGTTATCTTTGCACTTATATATTTTTAATGTCCTTAAAAAATAAGAGATTATTTTCTTATTTAACCTTATACTATCTGCTTTGTCAGTTTCTTTTTTGTTGTTGTTGAAAAACACTAATATTTTATATCAGTCTATCTGGAATCTGGACAAATAATCTGAGTTGTTTCAGTCTTCTCTATAAAATGGAAGAAGCTGGGCAGAGAGCACCAGGATTTATCAACAGCATCATTAAAGTTACCTAGTGCTCTAATAGGATTTCTTGCCCTGATACATGCTAAATTAAATACTTAATTATCTATCATCTTTCATTGCTTCCGATGGATTTATATTCACATGCTACAGGGTAGAAATAATATTGAACCCAGGAACTATATAATATTTACAACTACCAGTTATTAAACACATACTTCATGCCAATGCTGGGTTAGACATTGTTCCTACACCACCTTGTTAATCTTTCTAACAAGTCTATGGAATACATTTTTCCATTCCTTTTAAAAAGGAATGAAGTCGGAGGAATTCTAAAGCCTCCACTCACTTGCTGGTTCTCCCTTGGGTCCCAGCACCCTGCCCACACCATCTAGATCTAGTAAGTCCTCACCCTCCCTGTGGACACCCTCATCTGTTCTACCTTCAGCTAGTCTCACATGGTTGCCTGATACCCAAGTTGGTATGGAGAATTATCCTTCCTCTGTCTCTTCAGATGAACAGATTTAAGGATTTGATTTTTGCTTTTAAATTAAGTCTTCATCACGGTTAGGGTAAACTTAGGCAAGGTGGGCCAGTGCTATGGGAATAAAACAAAGAATTGCAAAGGTAAAGCAAAAAAAGTTTATTCATATTTAGAACAGACTCTAAATGGTACTGGCACTAAGAGGCAGTGTGGTCTGGGGGTTGAGGAAGGAGAGCTTTTGGAAGTTTTAACAAGGAGACAAGGTACAAAACAAAAACAAAAACAAAAAACACTCCAGCAGCTGCATTCCTAAGTATTGATAACACTAAGTTTTTGTCCTTGGTGTTCTTGGGGCAACCAGTCTTGTGACTCCAGGTGATAGGCTGGTGGGTAGTCATGAAAGATGAAGTCAGCTTGGTCTTGTATAGTGAGAAACCAAATGTAAAAAAAATAAAAAATAAAAAAATAAAAATGAATGAAGTCAATGAATTTCATCACATATAGAGAAGAGATTAGAGCCTGGATCTATCTGACTGCACAGGCCCTGGTCTTTTCTATGGCTTTACTTGTTTGTTTATTTGATAATATCCTTGTGTATGCCTATACCATAACTTCAGAAAAAAATCATTGTTTTGTCAGTTTTCAGTGGTATCTTTTAACTTTTACCTATTGCCTATTTATTCTACTTTCATCTTTTCTGGTGGTGGTTTTAATGAATCTTAGTTCTGATGACTCCCTTCTTTTCTCTCTTTTTTGCTTAATTTTCTCCTCTTCCTCCTCATCCTTTCTTCTTCCTCTTTCTCTTATTTTTCTTCCTCCTCCTCTCCCTTCCCTGCATCCTCCTCCTTCCCCCTCCTCCTCTCCTCCTTCCTTCTCCATCTTCTCCTCCTTCTCCCCCTCCTCTTTTTTCTCTTTCTCTGTTTTCTGTTTGTTTGATAAACAGACAAGAGTCTGTCTATATTGCCCATGCTGGAGTGTAGTGGCGACTCATAGGTGTGATCCTGCTACTGATCAGGACAGGAGTTTTGATGGGCTCTGTTCCCTACCTGGGCTGCTTCACCTCTCTTTAGGTAACTGGTAGCTCCCTGCTCATGGAAGGTCTCAGTACTGATGCAAAACTTAGTGTGGACATAATCAGCATAGTACACTAAAGCCAGAACTCCTGGGCTTCAGCAATCCTCCTTTTGTGCTAGCTGGAACTACAGGCACTACTACCCTGCCCAGCTCTTTTGCTCAATGTCTTTGCCAGTAGCTCACTGTGGTCTATTTCTCCTTCTTTTTCTTTGTCTTCTTTTCCTTCTCCTCCTCTGTTGTCTTTGACCTTGTCTTCTAGGTACCTTAAAATTTGATATTCTCTGTTTTCTACTTATATCGCAGACAAGTTTTTTGAAGATTGTATTTGCTCTCGTTTTAATTGTTTTTTGAGAATATATAGAGAAACTGATTTAGGCAACCACTATTTTCCACATCCATCTGGTAGTACACCTAATATATTTTGAGTGAAATGCTAGAGATATCAGTTATTGTTTCCCTGCTGAGATCTTTTGTTGTTATCCACAGCCTCTGCTGAAGGAGTAGACACAAGTAATCATATCTGTAACTAAAACAAATTACCTTGTTTGTGCTCAATGACCTCACCCCCTTGGTCACAAATGTTTGAACCAGTATGAATACAGGACCTAAACCAGGCATGTCCAACCCGCAGCTTCACAGGCCACATGCAGCCCAGGACAGCTAGTAATGTGACCCCATACAATCTTTTTTTTTTTTTTCAGTTGGAGTCTTACTCTATTGCCCAGGCTGGAGTGCAGTGGCATACTCACAGCCACCGTAGCCTCGATCTGCTGGGCTCAGGTGATCCTTCCACCTCAGCCTTCCAAGTGGCTGGAATACATACTTAAGCCACCACGCCCTGCTAATTTTTTGATTTATTGTAGAGATGAGATCTTGCCAAGTTGCCTAGGCTGGTCTTGAACCCCTGGTCTTAGGCAATCCTCTTGCCTCAGCCTCCCAAAGTGCTGGGATTACAGGTTTGAGCCACTGCCCCCAGCCCCATATAATCTTTTAATATCATGAGGTTTTTTTTTAGCATTTATTTTCTTTGTGACCCCATGTGTAGTTCCATTTTTGATGTTCATAATCATGCCTTATTCATGACATCACTTTTTGGCAGAACATGGATTTGTGAGCAGCTGTTTTCAATTATGAAGCACATAGAAGCAAAATTCAAACAAGCATTTATGATGAACACCTTGCGAACTCATTACGAATTGTGACTACTTCCCTCAAACTGACGTTGATAGATTAGTTTTACAAAAACAAGTCAGGTTTCTCACTGGTTTGATATTGTTCTCATTTTTCTAAGCTTTATAGTAAAAATATTAAAAAATAAGTATGATTATTATATATATATACACTAATTATATTATATAATTTATGTGCAGCCCAAGACAATTCCTATTTACTCTCTGTGACCCAGGGAAACCAAAAGGTTGGACTTCCCTGAACTAAACTCTGCCCAAAAGATTATATCTTTTGAGAATTTGTGCTAAAGAACAGAGAATCAGTATAGAACACTGGAGTTGTTAAGGTCACAGTGTCATGGAAAAAGAAGGTATAGAGGAGTGGAAACTAAGAGGCTCACAAGGGCAGGCTGACTGAAAAGGTACTGAGCAGAGAGACATGGTAATGGTGTCTATGGCGGAATAGGAGAATGAGACAAGAAGAAAGAGATAGCCAAAGACACTGATATGAACAGAGTTTCTGATGACTGTTCAATTTCCGAGAGACCAGTTTGAATACTTTACAACAATATTTAATATATTTTTCTATCATGATAATAAGTTTCCTTTTTTCTTGAGTCACTCAGTTTATAGTACTTTGTCATGTCAACCTTGGGAAACTAATACACTATCCCATACTACTTCTTTTAGTATAAATAAATACATTCTTCCCTGAATATAATTTAAAGATTATACAGGAAGCTACATTCTTCATAATTGAAGGAAATACCTTTTTCTGTTTGTTACATCAATCTTAACTTTTTAATTTTTCAGTGTGCTTAGCTATACTTTGGTGCTGTTTAGGAGGTTACAATATTGTTTGTCCTGGGATTTTCAAGGAAGTATGTCACTAGGAGATTTTGCTTTTATTTTTATTATTTTTTAGTTGGAGTCTCTCTCTGTCACCCAGGTGTAGTGTCATGATCGTGACTCACCGCAGCTCTTGGGCTCAAGTGATCTTCCTGCTTCAGCCTTCTGAGTAGCTGGGACTACAGGTGTGCGCCACCATGTTGGTCAATTTATTTTTCCTTCCTTCCATTTTTGTTTGTGGGGTCTAGTTATGGAGCCCAGGCTGGTCTCAAATTCCTGGCCTCAAGTGATCCTCCTGCCTGAGACTCTTAAAGTGCTGGGATTACAGGCATGCTCTACCACGCCCGGCTGCCTTTATTTTTTAAGGAATAATTAATGGTGGCAGGTATATGAAGGAGTGTGTGTGAATCTTATGGATTTTCTATTATATGATATTCTAAAATATTGCACTCTCATTTTCAGACTGCTGAAGCTAAAGGAAATGTTTAAATCCAAGTTTGCATCCATTCCCAAGTTTTATGTTCGAGCACCAGGAAGAGTCAACATAATAGGTATTTCAAAAGTTCCTTTTTAAAATTTTGTTCCTCCTCTGATAAGATTCAAATTCCTGTTAGTATGTTTTTATAATTTTTTTCAGAATAGAGTATTTCTCATACATCTACTAATATTAAGGTATATACTTTTACATAAAAACACACTTGACTTTCATCTTTCCCAATCCATATTATTCATATTAATATTGTTCATTAGCTTATTAAATCTATAAATTTATCAAAACCTAGTTGTTAATATTGTTTTCATAGAAAATGAAAATATTTTTCTAGGCCACAGGTTAAAATTTTAGACTATGATAAGTAGATTTGATGGTTATACATTTATTCATTGGGCAAGAGGAACGCTAGGAAACCTTATAATTCCTTGTTATTAAAAGTATGGTCCAGATTTTGCAGGTCTTCTAGATATACTTTTCTTTTGTTTTTCCTTTGAAATACTTTGAATTTTACTACCTTTTAGTAGTAAATAATATAGCCTTTTAACGTTTAGTTTTCTATCATTCTATCAATGTCCATATATAATAATTGCTATAGATGTAATTAGATTGCATACCATTTTTATCCTTTTTGTTTCACTTAATATATCGTAAATATTTTCATGTATCTTAGTTCACTTCCTGCTGTTATACCAGAATTCTACAGACTGGGTAATTTATAAACAAAAAAAGTTTATTTGGCGTATGAGCCTGAAGACTAGGAAGTTTAAGATTGTGATGCCCACATCTGGTGAAGGCCTTCTTGTTGAGTCATCCCAGAGGGAAAGGGCAGAAGGCAAGAGAACATGCACGACAGAGAGAGGATGGGGGCCAAACTTCACCTTTTATCAGAAACCCACTCCTGGGCTAACTAACCCACTCCAGAGATAGCAGCATTAATCCATTCATGAGGACAGAGCCCCCATTTTCTAATCATCTCTTAAAGGTTCCACCTCTTAATACTGTCACAATGGCAATTAAATTTCAACGTGAGTTTTGGAGGGGACATTCAAACCCTAGCACTATGCTTCTGCGTAGTATCCATAATTATTTTAGTGACTCCGCAGTAGCTTATCAAGATAATATTTATAATTTACTTAACAATTTTATCTAATTGTCCATGAAGTTACTTCCAGGTTTTTACTATTATAGCCAGTAGTTTGATACAAAGGATACATAGGTGAGAACAGCATTATTTATTTATCATATTCCTGACTTATGATCATTTGACTTATAATTTTTTGACTTTATGATGGGTTTATCGGTATATAACACTACTGTATGTTGAGGAGCATTTGTGTTTATCTGTCTTTGCTTGTACTTTTTTTTTTTTAACAGTCTCTCATTTTGTTGTCCTGGCTGGAGTACAGTGGTGTGATCATAACTCACTGCAGTGTCAAACTCCTGGGCTCAAGTGATCTTCCCATCTCAGCTTTCAAAGTAGCTAGGATTATAGGCATGACTCTGTTTGTACTTTGGATCAATACAGTTGTTACCAGTGTTATTTATGGAGCATTTCTTTGAGGGCACATAGAACCCATTTTGCTAGCTTCTATTTTTATCCTGGATCAAGCTCAATTTCAGGAGTATATGTACCACATATAGAGTTGTTTTCACCAAGTTGTACCATGTTATTATTTAGATATGACTGTAAGAGACCCATTATTGAAGTTCTTGTGGTGATATTATTGAGGATGTTGCCCATGATATCACATACTAGTCCTTCTTTGAAGATGCAAAGGAGAATTTTTGCTTTGTCTATCTATTGTTGTAGACACTAGCTACATGTGACTATTTACATTTAAGTTAATTAAAGTGAAATAAAATCTAACAGTTAGTTCACTAACCGCATTCCATTGTTCAGTAGCATGTGTGGGTAGTGGATTGTATTGGACAACACAGATAAAAAACATTTTCATCTTTCCAGAATGTTCTACTAAACTGTGCTGGCAGATCTAAATGTTGGCTGCCAGAAGGAGAAGCTGTCTTTGGTGGATTCATTAGTCTTTCTCAGCCAAGTGGTTTTTGGGAGCAGCCTGGGTGGCCAGATTCTGTCCAGGTCCAGAGCATGAGGGTCAGGGTGCCTACCAGCTAATGCTTAAAGCTTTTAAAGATATTGATCTCATTTATGTGTTTACTTATTCAGGACATACTTATTTAATGTTTGAAAGATTGTGTTGAATTTTATATTTTTTATACTTCCATGTTTGGTTTTCCTCATACTTTTTTATCTATCTGGAATACATTTACCACATCCCCAGTCCACATGTCCAATTTCTACCCATTGTTTAATACCCTGTTCAAAAGATTCTGCCATGAAATATGACCTGAAAGTTAGATATTCACTCATTATTTTGGATAGTATACTGTAAAACTCATTTTGCATTAAACCAGACCACTAGAGAACTTTGTGTAATAAATGCAGCAGTTGACCTTTGGTAAAATTGTTTTACTAAACTGTGCAGTTTGATTTATCCTCTACTTGAAGGATGTATAGAATCAGTCATATAGGAATCAGCCTTGTGTACATTTTTAAATAATTCTTGCAACCAAAAGAACCTAACTAAAATAGGAGGAATCATTTGACCAGTTCACGTAAAAGAAAATTAATTTTTTATGTATATGAGATAATAAGAGAGAGAAAGGGTCTTATAAGAACAAAAATTGAAATACAACTGGGCCTAATGGAAACTTGAACTAAATCGGGGTAGTGCTAAAAGAACTAAATAGCAACAATTTTAGAATCTTTACTCTAGTTCTCTGCCATTAGGTGGCTAACTATCCCCTCTGCCTTTGCTTATTTTTATATATATTTTTGCTTTTCTTCACACAAATCGATGTCTCTGTCTCCTTCTACTGCAGATTTTCTCTCTTATTTGCTGCTGTCTTATTGACACTTCTTGTTTTCTGGCTCTTATTGGACCTATATTTACATCTTTTTGCATTCTTTCACTTCAGTTTCTGTCAATATCAGCCTTCTCTATTTCATACTTCCTAATTTAGATTCATGAACACACTTTATTCTTGTTTGGATAGATTTATCATAACAGAAAGGCTGTTTTTTAGTTATTGACTATTTTATGCATTTCTTTCTTCCATTAAACTTTCCATCAAGGATGGCGTTTGCCGTGCCTGGTTTCCCCTTCTAATTTAAATTATTCCACTTATAGCTCTTTGCTTAAGGAAGCTATATCAGACAGTGCTTTGTGCAGAAATGGGCAATGAGGGAATCTGATTAAAATATGACTTGTTAGCCGGGCTCGGTGGCTTAGCCTGTAATCCCACGCCTTTGGGAGGTTGAGGTGAGTGGATTGCCTGAGCCCGCGGGTTCAAG